GAAGCCGTATTCTGCACAGATCCGCCGGAAATCTTCTTGTACCGGCTGCAGGGCAAACACGGCGCATAATGTAAATCTAAAATTCAAATTATATTTTCAGAATGTAGATCACGCAGCCTAAACTTGACTGCTGATTAGTCTATGCAGACATAATATTTGAATTAAATTCACCTAACTATCACTTAGATGAATCAACAATACCCGACAACTGGAAACTTTCCAAGCAATTCCAAATGGAAATTAGCCAGCGTATTGAGCTTTCTCCCGAATTCATGTCGCATCCAGGTAAATATTTGAGTGAAACACACATCGGTAACTTCCAGCTTCTGCATCATCGCATCTAACCGGATACTGCCAGGAATTTTCATTTGATAGAGACCCGAAAATACAACGCCTTTAATTATTATCACGCTCTTAAAGCATTTGCCACTTTAGCAGCTTCCACTTTGCATCTTTAATTGTGCCATGTTAGTTAAGGTGAGTGCGTAACTGTAAATTAAATTGCTCTTAATTATGATACCAGATATCTTAAGCAAGCCAATTAGCGTCGACTTGAACGAAGTTCTTCAAATGCCACGTGCATTGTATTATTTTGTGAAGCGAGTTAACAGGTGTTAAGTGCGAATTTATAACGTGCAATTGCCGCAAATAAGCGAACGTACGTTCTCTCAATTTCGACTCATCTTTAGTATAAACTTTGGTGAATTAAGTAGCAGCTATGTTACACGAGTACACACAAATATTCCTTGGTTGCTTAAATAATTATGTATTGATCAGTTTTAATGACTGCTGCAAAATTTCCAATTCAATCTTTGGACATGTGAAAAACTACTTGCGTAAGTAAACTGGCACAAGCAGGAAGTATAAAAAAATCATTTTTTTTCACGTGAATTAAATAATAAGTGATTTAGATAAAAAAATTCCGTCTTTGAAACTGCAACCCCATACATTTTCGGTTAAGAGTCCGTAATTTATGAAAGAGCGGAGAGCAATAAAACGACATATTGAAAGAGGCACTTAAATTTAGTGTTCAGGCGGCAATAAAAATCAATGAAAAATAATTTCCCCAAAGCAGTTTTACGGAACTGAATAATTCTGGATCGGGAGACTGTGCCTTTACAGGGAGCAACTTGCCGATCTCTGGAAACCAATTTGAATGCGAAAAAATATGTGATTTCATGGGTAATTTCTTGCTCAAAGTGCTAGGCCGAATGCTTTCGCACAAAGCAGCCTAGTTTTGTAGCTTCAACTTATGCAAATCCGATTATTCGGGGTGATCGCAGACCAGGATAAATGGATGGCCCAAGTTTTTTGGGGATTCCACATTTACATACAATGAGAATACTGAACAGCCCGCCCGTCTGCATTATAAGTGGGCATATGTGATTTCAGTACGTAAATCGTCCCGTTTCTAAACATTTGCTTTGCGGAATACTCTGTTGTTTCAGGGTTTTATACATTAGGAAATTACACTGCAAACGGTTTGCAAAATATGTTTTTTTTAGTAATTACTGATGTTGAACTTATATTGCATCAAAAAAAATAATGCTGAAAAGATCCAAAACTACTTTCATGCCGAAGATCTGAAAATTCGATTTATTGCAAAATGCTAAAAGAAGTGCTATATTGGAAGTCGTCGCACATTTATTTACAGCTTATTGGGTTTATTTTTGAAATAAACGAAAGAAGACTCATTTGCTACCTGACTTCGGACTCGTGATGAAATAAGAGCATTAAAAACATAGAAATGTAATTTCTCTTGAGATGTATATAAGCAATATTATCTCTAGACTTTCCAGAATTGCTGTCTTTGAGTATTAGACGATATGTGGCTTTAGCAAAGTTCGAACTAGGTCGTGTTCATAAAGCGTATTTCCAGTTCAGATAAATATTTATCTGCGAGTGCTGTGTTTGGTATTCTGGGAACGTCTGCTTTGCTCAGGTAAATTCACTACGAATAAACCGGTTTAAATTATTAACTGAAAATAAAATATTCTTGGCGAAATATATTCAATTTCTGCAATGGTTTTTGGCTCATTTTCAAAGATTCGGTTGAGTTGTAAAGCTATAGCTGTTTTTACGGGACTGAGTCTTAAAAGGCGCACTTTTTATATAGAATTTCATTTTTGGCGTGTTTAGAGTTCACGAATCGGTAGAGCTGTAAACTTCTGAGTTTCACTAGTGGATAGAGCCTTAAGTCGCGCACTATTTTATGCGAAACATCGTTTCAAGATCGATTTATCGAAAATTCAAGATTAATGCTGATCTATAAAATCGCCATTAGTTTTTGGCTGATAATTAGCGAATCGGTCTAGTTGTAAATTTCTGGTTTGCACTATTTGCTAGAGCCAGAAATCGCGCACTATTTTATACCAAGCATCGATTTATAAATGTTTTTAGTTTTCGCGCGAAATTTTAAAATTTAAGATTAATGCTGATCTATAAAACCGACATTAGTTTTTGGCTCATAATTATAGAGTTGGTCAACCTGTAAAGTTCTGGTTTCCACTATTGGATAGAGCCTTAAATCGCGCACTATTTTATATCGAGCTTCATTTTAGGAATGTTTTTAGTTTTYGCSCAAAATGCGAAAATTCAAGATTAATGCTGATCTATAAAGCCGATATTAGTTTTTGGTTGATAATTAGCGAATCGGTTTAGTTGTAAATTTCTGGTTTGCACTATTTGCTAGAGCCAGAAATCGCGCACTATTTTATACCGAGCATCGATTTAGGAATGTTTTTAGTTTTCGCGCAAAATTTGAAAATTTAAGATTAATGTTGATCTTTAAAACCGCTACTAGTTTTTGTCTCATAATTATAGAATTGGTGGACCTGTAAAATTCTGGTTTCCACTATTGGATATAGCTTTTAATCGCGCACTATTTTATATCGAGCTTCATTTTAGGAATGTTTTTAGTTTTCGCGCCATATTTGAACATTTAAGATTAATGCTGATCTTTAAAACCGCTAWTAGTTTTTGTCTCATAATTATAGAATTGGTCGACCTGTAAAGTTCTGGTTTCCACTATTSGATATAGCCTTAAATSGCGCACTATTTTATATTGAGCTTCATTTCAGGAATGYTTTTAGTTTTCGCGCAAAATGCGAAARTTCAAGATTAATGCTGATCTATAAAACCGCTATTAGTTTTTGWCTGATAGTTAGCGAATCGGTTTAGTTGTAAATTTCTGGTTTGCACTATTTCCTAGATCCTGAAATYGCGCACTATTTTATACCGAGGTTGATTTAGGAATGTTTTTAGTTTTCGCACAAAATTTGAAAATGTAAGATTAAGGCTGATCTATAAAACCGCCATTAGTTTTTGGCTCATAATTACAGAATTGGTCGACCTGTAAAGTTCTGGTTTCCACTATTGGATAGAGCCTTAAATCGCACACTATTTTTTACCAAACATCGTTTTAGGAATGTTTTTAGTTTTCGCCCAAAATTTGAAAATTTAAGATTAATGCTGATCTATAAAACTGCCATTAGTTTTTGGCTCATAATTAGAGAATCGGTCGAGCTGTAAAGTTTTAGTTTGGACAATTGGATAGAGCCCTAAATCGCGCACTATTTTTTGCCGAGTTTCATTTTAGGAATGTTTTTAATTTTTGCGCAAAATGCGAATATTTAAGATTAATGCTGATCTATAAAATCGCCATTAGTTTTTGGCTCATAATTAGAGAATCGATCGAGCTCTAAAGTTTTAGTTTCGACAATTGCATAGAACCTTAAATTGCGCACTATTTTATACCGAGCCTCATTTTAGTAATGTTTTTAGTTTTCGCGCAAAATACGAATATTTAAGATTAATTCTGATCCATAAAATCTCCATTAGTTTTTGGCTCATAAGTAGATAATAGGTAGAGCTGGAAATTTCAAGTTTCCATTATTGGATAGAGCCTTAAATCGCACAATTTTTTTTATGAAGCATTGTTTTAGGAATGTTTTTAGTTTTCCCTCAAAGTGCGAAAATTCGAGATTAATGCGAATTTTTAAAACCGCCATTGTCTTTTGGCTCATATTTAGAAAATCAGTAGAGCTGTAAAATGCTGCATGCTATTACTGGATAGAGCCTGAAAGTGTGCTCTGTTTATACGCAATATGCGACGTTTCAAAAACAATGCGAGTCTAGAAAACGCTCGTAGTATTTGGCTCGTCTCTAGAGACAATCTGTAAAATTGCCGTTTTTATTCTGAATAGATGTTTACTTTCAATACAATTTGTTTACGGATAGTGGTGACTTATAAACATACTTGCTTCTGTTGTGCCACAAAAGAAGCCTTTGTTTCAAGTCAATCTCTTAACTAGAATTAATTGTAATCTTCTGATATAACTATGAAATACTCCATGATTAAATGGGTGAAAAACATTCCCGTTCTTCCATCCAAATTTAATTACAAGTAGCAATCCAAACCCTAAACAACCAAAAATATCTACGTGGCGCTAGAAATGAATCGACTAATTAGTTTTTTGGTGTCAAAACAAGCAAGTCTTTGCGAACATCAACTAAATTTTACATTAAATTTCACATGGAAGAACATTCGCTCTATTGCAACAAGTAATTACACTTCACAGTCGGCTCTGTTGAAATTATAATCACTCTGTTACCCCAAAAGCACAGCGCGTTCTAGTGCCAGTGTTGCATAAATTTGAAAATTTCATGACCTGTTTGTTGTTCTCATATGGAGGAGCATTATTAACAATTTAGAACTGGCTTTAAATATTTAGTCGCATCTACAGCTTGAAAAGATTAACTAGTAACGTTTTTGATTCCAATGGAGACCTGAGCCACGAAAATGGTATTGAAAGAGACCTATTTACAGATAGAAACGAGATTTCAATTTGCTTCTGATCAAAAACATACGGTGGATTCGGCGTGTCTGATGTACAAAATTGAGCAATTTAGAGTCTTCACAAGAAACTTGAACAAACCCTGATATATTTGACTGTAAATAACTTCCAAAATCTTCAATTAAGGCCAGTACTTTGTTGCAGATGGCTTTCCTCTCTGCTAGATGCTCAGAACATGAGCGGGACAAGCAGACTTCTTCTACACCTGCATCTAGCAACCCTGCATATTCAGTAGCAACTAAAATAACGAAATAGTCACCCCGTAGTAGATCCAGCCCCAACTGAAAATGCTCGAATTGGACCCCAACTCTACCGCTTCCTCCGACTATCTGGATCCCTGCGCTGGAAACTCCTCCCTCCTCAACTTCACCCTAGTTGAGCTCAATAGCATGGACATAGCTTACATCAATGTGACCAAGGAAATGCCCATTAACTATGCAGTTCCACTCTACGGCTATCTCATGCCCATTCTTCTGTTGATAACAATAGTAGCGAATACTCTGATAGTGGTAGTGCTCTCTAAAAGACATATGAGGACTCCCACTAATATAGTGCTAATGTCGATGGCCCTCTGTGATATGTGTACTCTTTTAGTGCCCGCGCCCTGGTTGATTTACATGTACACTTTCGGAAACCATTACAAGCCGTTAGCGCCTGTTCCACTTTGTTATACTTGGAACGTTATGCATGAGGTGAGATACTTATTATTTATTAAATTCTTTATTAAAATAAAATTATATGGTTACAAAGTCACAGTCAAGAATCGAAAAACCCTACAAACATGTCATATTTCCTGTCTGTTGGTGGTAGTTTAGTCTGTTTATCGACAGGAGTATCGATGTTGCAGCTTGACTGTTCACCAATATTACAAAAATGATTGTTCTTAACGTCAGCAATTTTCTTAAATTATTAGCCAAATCATCACCAACTGTGGAATCTTTTTAATACTATTATTTTTATTAGCACATTTTTCTATTCTCGTCTTTTAGGATTGTTTAGGTTATTTATATTTGCTTTATATTATGGACGTTATATGATTAATATAATTTTTTTCAACCATATTTAATGTTGTTTGCGGTTCAATTGATTTAGCCAGGAAATCTGCAAACGTTGAGGTTTTTTATTTCATTCCTGTTGTGTTGTCCATGTTATTAACTTTTTTTCATATTTGGAAATGCTGTACACCAATAAAAATTATTAACGCGATTGAGCATGATAGAAACCGTAATCAAGCATTTCCTCAGCAAAAGTGAAGAGTAGCAGTTTTAGCACCCAAACTAAACTCCCCAGTTTCAAGCAATGGCCGCAATAATTTAATTTTTAATGTATACCGGGCCTTTCAACTTGAACGAGAAAAGGCGATAGAATAAAAAAAAATATTGCAAGTGATTAAAGTAACATTTAGAATACATAATATTTTCATTCGAGGAAGGTTATTAGGAAAACAAACAGTTTGTAACAAATAAAATGTCTGTTTGTTCCTGTTTTAATGATTATCATTTTACATAGATTATTCTGCGTGATTTTGTTCCTATAGACTGTAAGCTGTTACTAGATTAGAACGCTTTTTTAGATTATTAACTAATTTAAAAATGTGTTTTTACATTGTCTGAGCGTTTATACCAAAAGGATTTGGAAATACTCCCTGCTAGAACATTAAAGCTAATTTGCGCAAAACATAAAGAAACTATTTAAATTTACTACTGCCGGTTTATTACTGTCCAACACCCGGGGCTGAAATATTAATTGAGTTTGTTTTTAACTACTTTTATTTCACGTTGGAGACGTTCCTTAATGGGTTGATTTTCTGGAAATTAACTTAAGTGTCTTATGCTTTATTTCATCTTTGTTTATTGGACGGGTTTTATTTTCCAAGTGTATACTTTTTTCAGTTTGCTTCGAAGACATTGTTGTATTAAGCTATTTAATAAACAACTGTTTGAAAATTGATGGAGAGTAGGAGAATTTGAACTCATTCTGCGTCTCCGTTTGATATGCTGTAAAGTTTTTGTGAATTTTTGCTCAGATTTTTCACGTTGATTGTCAACGAAGCTGAAAAACTAATAAAGATTTTTGGAACTGGAAAATGAAATGATAAAGTTAAACAGAACATTGGCCCTTGATGTATATTTTTAATAGAAATCACATGAAAACCAACTAAAACCATTGAATAAAAAGTGAAGCTTCCAATGACAGATTAATTAAATTTCAACAAGTGAATGCCATATTTCGATGAACTTCTGATTCAGGTACATCGAGTAAGTAAATATTTACTCATGGTTAAAATAGCATTTAAAACCCTGACATTTTGCCCAGACGAGTCTATTCGAATGGAAATGTGGCATAGAAATAATTGATATTTAACGGATTAAAAAGCGTTAATGAACTTTTGCTGAGTTGGCAAAAAATCGTAAATAAACATGATTTTTCAGTGATTTGGGTCTGTTTATTTGCGATTCATATGAATCGAAAAACTCTAGTTTGCATTTTTTGTTTTGTATGCTAAAAATTCGCAGTTTATGCCAATAAAAATCATAAATTTTCGGTTTTATTTGAACACACATTTTCTTTATCGCTCCCGAGGGAAACATGATTTTTCTGATGAAATGCACTAATCTGTGGTAAAGGCATGCATTTAAGCCGTGCAATTTTTCAGTATCTTTGCAAAGATCCGCTCAAGCAATAATTTATATTGTATTTAATTCAAATTTATACAGAACTGAAAGCCCGCGGCGAGTATCAGGACATGTAAATCCTGCAATGAATTGCAAGTGCACCTGAAATATTTATTACATCGATAGTCCCTTGTCCAGAAAATCGATTAAAAGTATGGTTTTTCTTTCAATTCTACTACATTTGCACGGGAACTCGTCGTCGTCGTTCGCTACTAAGGCGATCAATTGGTGGAAATGCAGTTTTATTTGAAAAGGCGTTAAACAAATAAGTTTACCAAAGTTTAGCCAAACTGAAATTAAATGAAGATTGTATAACACAAAGTTTAATTGATCTTGACAACAAATATGTAGAAAACTAACTAAAAAATTTAAAACAAAAACATATTGGCGTGTCATACACATAAAAATTATGCAACGTTTTATAATAATAAACTTAAGGGAAAGTTATCAAGTGGACGTCGGAACGGATTTAACAGATAAGCGTAATTTTAATTGTTGCACCCTCAAACTCCATGAAACACAATTAAAGGAAAATTCAATAATTAAGAACCAAGCTGACGAAAGTTTAGGCAAACTACAATTTAATGAGGATTCTATAATAAAAATGGTTTGAAAGTTTAATTTATGATGACAAAAAAAGTGTATGAACCTAGTTAAAAACAAATAATCACAAAATACTATTGGAGTGTCATACAATGAAAAATTGTGCAACCATTTTTAATTTCCTATAGGGCAACTCACGGGAAAATTATTAGGTCGATATCGGGACGGGTTTAACAGATTAAGCGTAATTTCCATTGTTGAACCCCCAACTCTTAAACATCTGCAATTTTAAATGCTGGCTCGTTGGAGTACATCCTCGTTTGCCATTATGAGATTAAACCGGATTTCCTCCGGTGGTTGCTCTGAATGGTTGAAATCCTCGTCTAGACTGGGAACAGTTAGTCTAAGAGATGTGTTGAATTGAAATTTTTCTAACAGCGAAAACACAACCTTGTGATAAACTAATCCAGCAAAGCTGGAAATTTTGATTGCCGGACATTTCCATTCACTTAATGTGGATCTACATAATAATCCGCTGGAAATGGCTTCATTAAACCCGAATGCTATTATCAGTGAAGGCCTGGAAAGTTTCTGATACATTTTAATTAGTCGCATATTAGTTTGACCGCGTTGAGAGCTCACAAAAAGTTTCGGAAGTTTTTTCATTTATCAGGTTTAATTCTGATAATGTAAAATTGCATTTTCGGAAAAGTCATGTGGGGCAAAATGGTCTAATGGAAGCTTAAGTAGAAGATAAAAAGGATGCGACATATAATGATTATGCGGAAATTTGTGCTCAAAGTTAGTTGCTTGTGTTTAGGAACTTAAAGTGTTGCAGAAGATGCAAAAAATCGCCACTCGTGCTTACAAAACGCATGAAAGAAAACCTTTATACCACAGCCCACTCGCGCGAAAAAGCCTTATTAATGTCATGAACTGAACCCCATTTTTCTAGTGAAATATATTTAGCGAAAACCCATTAAAGTAATCAAGAAAATACTCACTAATAAAGCAACCGCGCGATAGGTATTTAACATTTTAACTACCACTCTATCCAACAAAAATAAGTGCCCTTTTAAAGCGGTTTTACCGTTCAGTTCTATGGCTATTAAACCCATATATCAGTGGAAATGGGCCACATTGTTGTCGTTTTATGCACGTTCGAAATTTATTTGGTACATCTCACCATGTCCAAGGAGCTGAAACAGTTCTCCAAACCGAGCAATAAATCTTGTGGAATTTCCGCGGTTGTAAAAGTTATGATTTTAATGTTTCGGCAGCTTTCAAACGCGCTGACTAATTAAAAATGCCATCGGCGGAACCGATGATATTCGCTCATGAAATTGCTCAGCCGAACGTTCCTAATTGTGAAAGTTTTCCACGTCTCCATTTGAATAAATGTCGCGACCAATTTGAGAAAACTTTAAAGTGGCCGCTTTTTTCTTCACGTTGATTTCGCCGAATTTGAGCCAAATCAAGATTGGTCGCTCCATGATTTCCAATTCCAGGCTTCAATTATGGATCTTTGATCTTTAGAAGTAGGCCTTAGATTGGGTCTGAGGACGTTTTTTCGCCATTTGGATTGTGTGTTATTAACAGCTCTTTTTGAGCATTTGAGATTGAACTTCGAACATTTAACATGTTATTATCGCTGAATGTTTTTAGGATAGTTGAAAATGGACTAGACACAAATTGTTCAAAATCGTTTTGATTTTTTCCAGTTTCTTCCCAATCTGTTTCACACTGCCAGCATCTGGCTGACTCTCATTCTGGCCGTGCAAAGATACATCTACGTCTGCCATGCTCCATTAGCCAGAAGATTCTGCACGATGCCCAACGTCTACAAGTGCATCGGATACATATTGTTTGCTTCAGCTCTACACCAGTCGCCCAGAATGATTGATTCAGACTACAGTTTGGTAAGTAATTATTTTAATTAGAAGGACCACAAGGATGGTGGAAACACGCTTCCACAGTCACTAAGGAACGAACTCTTTTCCAATATTTTTTTAAATCTAAACACTTTTTTGGGGAAAAGTGTCTAAAGCAACAGCAACTCTCACAGAGCCATTATTAAAATATTCGTTCTTCGGAAACCGTTGGAAATGACGTTAATATATTAAGAGCTTCAGGATGGCTGGCAAAATTTGCCATTAACCAGCATCGTTAAAATTAGAACATGTTTTTGAAAAGGTTCGTCGTTGTTTTTAGCTGAAATGGTTTGCGACTGGCGATATAACGGAATTAAGTACATTTCATCCGAATATTTTAGTATTGTTTTCTGCAAACTTTTAATTAATTAGTCAATTCGCAAATGCAAACCTATTTATCAGACTGTTCAATTCAATAATATGTGTATAAAAGTCCCATTCAGATAGCTGTTCGAATGGCGAAATTTAGTTTAAGTAAAAGCCATAAATTATAAAATAAAATGTATTCTAAAATAAGTAATTAATTTAACATGGCAATAATTTAATATCAAAGTGAATATGGGCCATTTTGTAATTTAATTAACTTGTCAATGTAGTTATACATTCATGTCTCAGTCTCTTTCGCTCAATGGTTTGCAATTTTTTTTTAATGGAAAATTTCGATTTAAGGCCAGTTGATTTAAGAATCCAAAGCAGAACGATTGCAAAATAAACAATACAAATATACAAAAAAAAACGCGAATAGACGAAAGACACAGAAGGAAAATAAAGGTACGAATAACCTGACATACATGTGATGGATTCATAGCCCAAAGTCTGCAATATTTCATCAAATTCAGCTCAAGTAAACTGATAGAAAGTTTAATCGATCTATAAATCGTTCATCGGCCAGTCCGAATCGTGCAATTAAAAACAAAATCCCGTTTGCTCTTTGCCAACAATACGAAATCCATATTGATCGCAAGTGATTTGTGAGACAAAGCCGCAACTTTCTGAAAATTTCCCCCAATAAATACGGATGTTGCCAACCTTGGCAAGGCAAAAGTACAATATCAGTGGATATTGGGGAACTTTGATATGTATTTGACAACGTAGAGTCGAGTGTCTTGAAGGGTGGAACTGCTATTGAGATCAAACGGTATGGACTTTTTGTTACTTTTGTCTGAACTGCAACTCGTTTCAGGCAAATACTTAAGCTTCCTACTAGAATAGGTAGCAAATAAATTTCTGCGATGTTGATATTTGCGGAAAATTAATCTACTTTTAACGAAGTTTTACTAGCTTCCTGTTAACCTGATATTCAGAAATCAATTGAAAAAGTGCACTTTCTATGCAGAGAGTTATAGAAGATTAAGTCATGATTTTTTAAAAGCAAATCCAAATCCCAAATTTATCAGAAAAGTAAAAATCTGAAAACTGAATACAGTTACATTTCTGATCTCCTAGAAATGCAAGATTGCAATAAGCTTACATGAAACTCAAGTACAGTTTTTCAGCTTATGTGATTAGAGAACTTTCTTGTCAGTTTATTCTTGGATAATTTTGCCAAATTTCTACGTAAATGTGCAACTTTTGATCATAAATTACTACTGATTCGATGTTTTCGTCTACATGGGGATCGATTGTACGTGACTGATCCGTTTGTGCTCGCCGAATTGGTGGCATTTTTTCAATTATTTCCAGCCGTTCGGAAAACCCTGATGAATTCGCGTCCATGAATGTTCGAAGGATTCCTTAATTTCCTTGCAATTAAACTCGTGGAAAAATGATTTCAACCAAATACAGCCAATAACAAATTCGGTTTGTTGTGGCACATTTAATGCAAAATTCAAAAAGTCCATATTTACTATGCATAAATGAGTTTTGATTAATTTCTCTTCTGTTCAAACGGCGCCAGTTTAATAAAAGTCCAAATGAAATATTGAGTATTGAAAAAATTAGCAGTAGCTGTGAATAATCAGACTAAGAAGCAAGGCACTAAAATTATTTGCAAATGCGTAGCTTTTTTAATGACCCTATTAGTCCTCATCACTGGGCTTAGCTTGCAAAAGATCCATCCAAAAGCCCGTACTTAAAGGGGTTGATAAACAATCCTTCTAAAGTATGTGGTCACAAACAGAAGCCAATTTTTTGAATAGTTTAAGACCCGAATCATTTGCTTGCCTGACCTTAATAGAGCTCTAAAATTTCACAAATTTCCCGGATACGAACTAAGACGCAGCCAAGGAGGGAGAACTCAACCCTTACTGCCCTTTGCGGTCTGATGGGCCTTTAAAATGTCCATTATACTGCCCATAGCGTGATGTTGTCTTGTGGGGAGAATGTGAATAAATAATCACACGATGAAAATTTGATTATTCAAGCAATGCAATATTAAAGTTATTGTAATTCTTGAAAAGTTTGCACTGGGAGTAAGGAAAAGTAATAATATATTTAGAATTCATATTGTTTTCAGGTTTAGTTTATCACTTTTCGCAATTTTCTGTGAAATGTTTTTCAAATCTGAAATTTCCGGGTTACTTTTTCATATCAAAGTTTAAAATCTTGCACATTTTTAAAACAAATATTTAGATGAGAACTGTAAAAAATTCTGGATAATGTGCCGCGATGCTTTAAGACGAGCTTCGATGCATTTTGCTGTAATTTGCTTGTGCACAATAACTCATAGTAGCAGGAAAGAGCATAGAATCTAGCAATCAATCTAAAGCATAGATTTTTGAGAGCAAAGCAAAATTTTCAGTTTTGGTATAAAGAATATACATTTTTTGGTCTTTAACTTGCCCTTTTTATTGTTTAAAAACCTACTATGCCATTAAATGTTTTGTGCGGCCTCAGTGGTCGAAAACCCGCTTTTCTTCACTTAAAATTTTAAGAGAGCTTCCAACTGCTTAAAAGTAAACCTAAATTGCACGCAACCGATTGCAACAATATAGCGTGTATTTCTTCTTATCACTTGCACTTAGGGATGGGAGAAAAACATCGATGTAATTCGTTCGATGTTCGATATTTTTACCATCGATGCTGGAAGTGGGACATCGATATAACATCGATGTTAGATCCTGAAATAAAAACATCGGACATTTGATGTTGATACCAGATAGAAACGTTTTGATAGTGCGGATACAAACGATACCGCAGCATGCAAAATCGATGGTAAAAATAATAAAATAATGTTAATGGTGCCTTTTTACAGTTACATGTACGATATTGTAGACTTTTATCATAGTTTATGCTCATGTAACTGGCTTAATGCGAAGTGGTGTAAATGCACAAGGCGGGGCACACCGATTAGTCATATTGTGCAGAAGCTGATAAATTTTGCTCCAAAGTGAACATTGATTAATTGCAGATGAAAAGCTTAAAAAAATAAAATTATTGCAAAACCAACCAAGTTATTAAATTTGAAATCAATCAGGTAAAGTAATAAATTCACTTAACATAAAATTGTGATGTTTACTGATGATTCTGCATTAATGAATGCACTTTATTTACGGACGAAGTTCTGTCTACGCGTATTGGAATTAACAATGTTTACCATAATTATTGAGGGTCGGAGCAAAATCACAATTTCACATTTTTTAACGACAGTTTTGTATGAACATATAGTTTGAAATGTTAAATTATTATTTCCATTTTTTACAAGATCATTAGAGGAAATATTGTCTCATATCATCTATAATTCGACAACCTTAACACCATTGGAAACACCATGTTTTCTGCATATACCTGTGAGTTATTAAAATAAAAAAAAAGAGTTGGTATCTTGTCGTTGTTGCCCCAGTCTCACAAGTTCAGCCGCAAATTATCGGAAAACTTTGAAGCATTTTGCCGAAAATGTTATTGAAACAAATAAATCACATTTACCTATTTATTAAACTTTCAGGCCTTCACAATTTAGTCGATTATTTAACAATTAACAATGCCAAATAAAATTGTTTAAGTTTAAGTTAATCAATTTGAAATTTGTATGCAACTGCGAACGAACATCGATATTGTGAAACATCGATGTTCTGCCTTCGATGTTTCCCTATCATCGATATTACCTCTCGTTGTCAACATCGATGGCTACCATCGATGTTAGAGGATCGATATCCCATCCCTACTTGCACTTCTCGTTTTTTATAAATCTGCCTGCACATTTTATTATTGAAACACACCAGAACTCGCTCGTAGAAATTGTCTCACGTTTTAATTGAAAAATGCCAAGCGATTGAACGCCTGCCAAACTCTCTGCTAGCTACTGAAAATTCTCTCATCGTGAGCTTTAATAATTAAGTTTCACTTTGTTCAGTTCAGTTGCACAAGCATGTTGCAGCCGTCGAACTTTGTATAAACACCTAAGCAATTATAACAGATCTAAAAGTCAAAGCTTTATCGGAGCCAATTAATTTTTGCCATAGTTTAGAGACTATTAACACAGTTGAAGCAGGTTATTTGCGTTGATTTTGAGACTGTTTTTAAGGAAGTTTAATCTTTGAGTGAGTGAACTTGTCAGGTCATCCGATAATCATCAGTTCAGACAGTGTTTAAACACCCTGTTCAATATGTTTATTCAATGTTTTGCTTCTCTTTTGACTTTATTTTTTTAGAGAGAAAATTTAGACTTAGTTAAATTTCCGGCACAGTGAATACGTGAAACGAAACGCCCATAACAAAGTAAAGTTGTATACAACCATAGATTGTCAGGAAACGAATCATCTAAGCCTGAACCGATAAAAACGTCTTCGATATCTCCTGTCTTTTTAAATGTAATTGTTTCCAGTTCTAGAACAAAGTTCACTATTATCCGCTTGGGCGCACAACAGAATTGAAACTGTTTACCTTTGCACATTGTTTTATCTGTTTGCAACATTTTCTGCTAGACAAGTGGAAAGAATTAGATGCGAAGGACAAAGGATATGGGAGCTTTGAGCTTCTCACAATCGGTAAAAAGAAATGAATGTTCTGGAAAATACGGGAATATCATTAGTTAATAAAGTGTGTCGCGA